GAAGACACTCTGAGACTGTGGAACTATCCTGTTCCTTAACAAACTTTGGCCGCTTGTGTTACTATATATTGATGATTTTTGCCTGAATCCACTGTTAGTTTGGAGGTTGCCAAATGATTTTTTAATTCTGTTATTTCTTCTACATTTATTAGTTGGCGTTTTACTAAGGAAAAGCTTTCCCTGTCTATTTGTTGGTCTGTCTGTCCATCTATCCATCCTCAGTATGGACTCAGTGGATTCTTATTTTATCCAATGTATTATAATCTATTACTGCCATTATTTACTTTGATGCTCAAATTGTCTTAGATTTGGCCATTGAAGAGCCCTTTTAAACTGGTCCCTTTGTCCTTTGACAAGCCTCCATTATGTTTTGAGCACTTTGTTACTTTCTGGCACAAAATATTCTAGGCTAACCTTACACCTTTCCTGACCAAACCTGGAATCAGCCATTTCTCTAAGGAGCCTGGTTTCTTTTCGTGGAGAACAGTATTTAGAGATTTTATGCTTTTTAAGCTGAGTGGTTCCATACTGCTTTTATATTCCATGTTTCTCGTATTCTACCATTTTAACTGATATTTTAAAAAGACTTTAGGCATATTGATTTTATATAATACAGTTTAATATCATAACTACCCAAGAAATGCCATTTTAACTAATACTAGTATTATGTAGGAGTTTTTGCATATTTCTATGGTTTGATTTGTGGTCTTCATAAGAGGGGTCATGTAGTCAAGTCTTCATACTTTGGCAAGACTGCCAGTGTGTCCTTGTAGACAGATAAGACTCTTCCTGTTTTAGAACTATACAAGAGGAGATTTTACAGCCTCTAGGGAAAGTGTACCCATATTCAGTGCCTAACACTCAAGGATTTTATGCATATTTGTACTCACTTCTCTAGTTTTTTTCTAAAGGGAAATGAAATTAGTTATCTTTTTCTTAAAAGTTTTTTCCTCCTTTCCTCCCATTTTTTTGTTTTCCTTCTCCCTTTTCACTTTTTCATTCTTCCTCTTCTTCTCTTCCAAATGTTTAATACCTTATTATATACAAGCCACTCTTTAGCCAGTTTCCAGTTCCCAACATTTTTAAGGTAGTCTTAGTTTATATTACGGTTTTCATTTTAATATTCTCTGAATACAAAGTCATTTATGTTGTAGAACCCACATTTAGACAAAAAGCTGAGATTATTTCTTTTTTTTGGTTGCCAATTTTTAAATTAACCAATCGTGTTTTTGTTTGGTTTTTATTTAAAATTTAAAAATAAAGGCATTTATTATTTACAGTAGTTTTAGGTTAACAGCAAAACAGAGTGGAAAGTACAGAGTGTTCCCATGTACCCTCTGTCCTCACATGTGTATAACCTCCCTTGTTATCAACATCTTCCGCTGGAGTAGTATATTTGTTATGACTGATCAAGCTACCTTGATGTGTCATTATCACCCGAAGTCCATAGTTTACATTAGGGTTCACTCTTGGACAAATTTATAATGACATTTATACACCACTATAGTACCACACAGAGTAGTTTTACTGCCTTAAAAATCCTCTGTACTTCCTCTGTTCATGCCTGCCTTCCCCCTATCCCCTGGTAACCACTGATCTTTTTATTCTTTCCATAGTTTTGCCTTTTCTAGAATGTCATATAGTTGGAATTATACAGTATGTAACCTTTCCAGACAGGCTTCCTTCACTTAGTAGTATGCATGTAACTTTCCTCCATGTGTCTTCATGGCTTGATAGCTCATTTCTTTTTAGCGCTGAATTCCATTGTCCGGTCATACCACAGTTTTTTTATCTACTCACCTACTGAAGCACATCGTGGCTGCTTCTAAGTTTTGGCAGTTATGAATAAAGCTGCTATAAGTATCCATGTGCAGTTTTTACGTGGATGTAAGTTTTCAACTTCTTAGGGTAAATACCAAGGAGTGCAGTTGCTGGATCATTGTGGTGAGAGTACGCTCAGTCTGTAAGAAAATGCCAAACTGTCTTTCAAAGTGGCTGTACCATTTTGTATTACCACCGGTAATGAATGAGAGCTCCTGTTGCTCCACATCCTTTCTAGCATTTGGTGTTGTCAGTCTTCTGGATTTTGACCATTCTAATAGGCGTTAGTGTTATTTTATTGTTTTAATTTGCATTTCCCTGATGACATACGATGTGGAGCATCTTTCATATGCTTATTTGCCATTTGTATATCTTCTTTGGTGAGGTATCTGTTAAGGTCTTTGACCCATTTTTAATTGGATTATTTATTTTGTTATTATTGAATTTTAAGAGTTCTTTATGTATTTTAGATAGCAGTCTTTTATTAGATATGTCTTTTGCAAATATGTGTTCTTAAATAAAATGTCTGATTATACCAGTACTACATGTTCGGTGATGAAAATTTGAAAAAATTCACTAAAGAACAAAGAAGAAAATAGAAATCATCCATATACCCATCACCCAGAAATAACAATGGTTATTTTGGTTTTTTATATATACCTATTTTTTGGCACATATACTTAATACATTTATTTAAGATCAATACTTCAATGGGGACTTTCATTACTCTTGTTTCAAGTATTTATACATTAAATATTTTTTCTAGTATCAAGGAGTAACTACATTTGTAAATCAACAATTTCAAGGTTATCACAAATCACTTTTATATTCAGTTCCAATAAATATTAATTTCTGCTGATAACTCAAATGCCTCAATGTCAGATAAGTAACATATGTTTATGCAAAGGGAGGGTGTAGGGATTACAAAAACTAGAGTCTGCAGATTCCACCTAAAGGCATTCAAATTAAAAAATTTTAAAACCACCATGTTGGCCAAACATAACACATCTTAAGGTTCTGGCCACCTCTGCTCTCTTCTTTCCTAAAAAGCCAATATTTCAGCCCAAGGTGGAGGCAATGAAGTCAATTTCCTGTGTCCTGCCATACGTCTGCCTACACCTCAGTATACCATACCTATTTTGGGATAAATTTGGGACAGCATTTCTCTTTAGCATACTTTTTAACAAATCCTTACTTCTAAAAGTCTTTTCTTTGTAAAAAAAAAAAAGTTATTATTTATGAATATATTCTCCTTTCTATTTTTTATTCACACCCATACTTTGTTTTAATTTGCTATTGTTTTATCTGAGACTAAAAGGATTGCAGATTCAGAATCCTCTAGATCAGGAAGGAACTTAGCGTGATCTTCGGCATTTATAAAACAGATTAATTCAATAGTGCAAAGTTGTACTGTCAGTCTGGGTTTGGTCAGGAAAATAGTCATGGTATGTATTGTATCCATAAGGAATTTAATATAGGAATTGGGCTTACACAAAAGTGGGGAAAGTTGGAGAAGTGAAGATCTATGGTAGGAAAGACAGAGAAACAATCCAAAGCACTGGAGCAGAGGAAGAAAGCCATGTGTACGTTGCAGTGAAGAGGTCTGAACACCTTCCAAAAATAATGGCCTCTGCTTCACTTGCAACAACCAAATCTTAGGCAAGTCCTCTCACTAGCAGACTGTCACCTGAAGCTATAGGGAAGGGGATTTTGAGGAATGTAGCTCCATGCTTTAACAGGGACTAATGGTGATGGTACCTATTAATAGTAAATCTGGCACAGTTGTATACCTAATTCATAGCACCCATTCATTCTGTCACTCTTTCCTTTCTTGATCTTTTCCTAGACCCTAGTGTATACATGTCTACGTTGGTTCTATGACTCCAGCAACTCTGGAGTCTTTACATCTTGTACTTTTTTGTGGAATTATTTTAGATTGCTTCCTATAGCTAAAGACATTTTTCTAAGAATTATTTAAAAATAACACTAATTTTACTCATACCTATTTCTTTAACTTTAAACCTGAGGCAGGTTCACTCTTTAAACATTGCTTGTACCTTATTACTCACTTGAGCAAAGCCCCAGGTTATTAAAGCTACAAATATTAATGTCATCAATAATTTAGATTCCTAAGCTTAGTAAAGAAATGTATAAATAGTGACTGCATGAATAATTATTCTGATACAGTGAGAAGTATCAATATTTGCATTTGCTGAGACTAAAGTCCAGAGTGTGATTGCAGAATAGAATCTGTTTTCCAAACTGATAGAAGAAATGATGATGTAGCATTAACCTGCGGGCCCGAAGCCAGTGAGCTAACCTCTAGTCTGTCCATGGTTAAAACTACCCATAAGTAACAACCCTTGTGTACCTCCCTCTTTACCCATTCACCTATAGATTTTTTTTGAGATTTGAAAATCTTCCATGGCCAAGCAGATGATGAATAATTGAAATACAACCCAATATAGTATTTTTACTAATGATTGTTCATTGCTTTCCAAAAGAGTACATTAGAAAAACTTGGCAGATTTGGATATACATTTTTTGAATCCTAAGTGGTTGAGAAATATGATTTAGCTTATAGAGCAGTTCAGTTGTGTAAATAATATTATTTGGAGCATATTCTTCCATTTATCAGAAAGATGTATACAATTAAATAGTTGAGGAACACGATCAAAATTTATTTGTGAACTGAATGAATTTTATTGCTAACAGTTTTAGTCAAGACTCAAATATAAATAATGTACATATTAACAATTTATATCTTGATATTTTTGGTCAATAATTCTTCAAGTTAGATTAGTTTGATGATGTGGAATTAAATGCTAGCAGCTCAAAATTGTGTAATTATTTATATTGGGCCTCAGTACACAAAATTTGGCATGTTAGGATGATACCCGATGATGTTAGTTGTAAGATAACATCAGTAAGTAGGTGGATAATACTTACTGGTCCACTAGTTCTTGTAAAATAGTTAAGTAAACAAAAACATTTTTTTTCTAAACATCTCAGGCAAGCTGAATGTTAGACTCAAGACTAGTAGTGAATTCAGAATTATATTTAAAGTGCAATGTGAGCTTATCAGCTTTAGTAAAGATGTTAAGACTTCATGTGCTGTTTAAACAGAGCAGAAAGCATATAGATTATTCAGTGATACATGGAAATGTCTACTTTAACAGGTAAATATTGGGAAGATGGATTCACCCATTGAAAAGTGGAACCTAATAATTGGCAATTTGGCTTTAAAACAGGTAAGTGGTACACTTTTTTTTTTTTTTTAGCAGATACTGAATTTACAGATATTGGGTGTCACCAGTATGATAGGTATAATTTTAGTACTATGAGTCTGTCATTTAATTGTTTCAGGAAACACCAAAATGATAATTTAGTACCCTGAAAAAAACTAATGGAATAAATGAATACCCATGACCTCTGAAATCTATTCTTTCTCTAGAAACTGATTTTTTCTAAGTAGGAAAAATATATAACATACAAAATATGGGAAAAAGATACAAAATGTTTTCTATCATAAGTATATGATAGGCTGAGCGTGGTGGCTCATGCCTATAATCCTAGCACTCTGGGAGGCCAAGGCAGGAGAATCATTTGAGGTTAGGAGTTTGAGACCAGCCTGAGCAAGAGCAAGACCCTGTTTCTACAGAAAAATATTAACAGAAGAAATTAGCTGGGCATGGTGGTGCATGTGTCTGTAGTCCCAGCTACTCAGGAGGCTGAAGCAGGATGATCGCTTGAGCCCAGGAGGTGGAAGTTACAGTGAGCTACGATGAGCCACTGCACTCTAGCCAGGGCAACAGAGCAAGACTCTTGTCTCAAAAAAAAAAAAAAAAA